CCGACACCTTTTGATACCAAAGAGACAATTACAAGACAAGAGAAAATCCTTCTCCAGAAGAAATTAAGAATACTATAGGAAATTTCGCTTCTACCCTGAAACCATTTTATTTATTTGCCAATTAGTAAACAATAGGGTACAAACACACAGGCTACTTAAGATCAGGCGCTCTCACAATTGTCTGCGATATCACCTCGGTGGAAGCGGACGTAAAATACAACTAACAAACACAATTATTCAGTTAGATTGTATGTGTATAGGGGACATGTCAAATGCATCTAAATCAACCATATATGACGTCAATGAAGCAGACAACAAATTTATGACGTAATTCACATACCAAAGTTGTTTTTGTAACGTTAAAGAGCATCGTAGTCTCAGTTTATGGTAAACTTTACCAGTCACAATGTGCTAAGACTTATACTTGACTTGTGCTTACATAAGAATGGTCTTGAGAATTTTCTAGGGACAGTATTTTTATAAGTTTCTTTCGTAAGAAGAAGTGAAGCATGACTTTGTGCTTACTTTAAGAATTTTCTTGGAACCGGGCCCAGGTTCTAAATCGATGTGATTTCTCTTAGCGTTCGGCCAGTAGAGTAGCCTAACCTTACGACTGACTGGATAGCGTGAATTCAAATCCCTTCAGTAGATAAACCATGGTAGAAACGTGGAATGGTTTGACTTGTTTCTTCCAGATGGGGTTACCTTTTTATACGCCAACGTGGAAATATCGTATTGCTCTCGTTTACAATTCCTTGTGAACACACAATCTACATACATGATCATCACCGCAGATCAAATAGCGTTTTTATCAAGGGACATAATTCAACGCTTCAGCAGATTATCACCGCCGATCAAAATTTAAGAGCGTGTCTGCGAGAAAACCATGCAGAAGGTGCTAAGGCTTCAATCACAGATATTGACCAAATTTGGTTTATAAGTTGGGATAGTCCAAAAACACATAAATTTGCAATATCAGATAAATTTTTCAATTCCTGACTGAGAAAATTGAGTCTTTTCTCAAATACCAACTTTGGCAAGTCCTTACACTTAGGGTTGGGCGATATACCGGTATTTCGGTATACCGTGATAAAATCATCGGCGATTTTATCATATCGGACTTACTTAAAAATATCGAAAAACCGGTTTATCGTGACTTAAAAAAATTATCGCGATTATGATAATTATCATGTCCCAATATTGATGATAATACATCGTCGCTTGGACTAGTAAGCGAGGAAAATGTGTTTGGCAAGGTCAAGGTTGGAGAGTATTTACCCCAGTCGCAACTGTCACTGTTCTGATTTTCAGACAAGTAGATTTTAGAACCCTGCTAGTTCTGGTTACATATTATCGTTATATTAAAACTTAATATTCTGCTTCGACTAACTAGTATGTCATTCTATTGATAGAATTAAATTCGTCTACAAGTATAAAATATAGCATATTACGTACCGGCGGGTCAAGGGTAAATATCCATCATGGCGTCTAGCAACAGTAAAAAAGTGACAACAAGCGACGATTTGCTGCCTAAAAAAAATTCCTCCAGTCCCGTTTGGACTTTCTTTGGGTTTAAGCCAAACGACGTAGACCAGGCCACAATATTCTGCAAAGTTTGCACAAATCCAGTAATGGCTAAAGGTGGCAACACAACCAACCTATATCATCATTTGCGAACACGACACCCAAGTCAGTACAAAAGCTTTTATTTATACGGGATTGCCAGGGTTGATATTAATAAAATAATAAATACAACATACCTTTTTCTTTATTAGTATTTGATACAGTATGCACACAAGACAGGGGTCAAGACCTTAACAAGAATTCAAAATTAGACTTCTATAGACACACGTAAAAATTATCACGATAATATCGTTTATCGTGATATTAGATAAATTATTATCACGATATTTATTTTTCATTATCGCCCAAGCCTACTTACACTTTTACTATACGTAGTAGAAAGACCAAACTCACACAGTTTGTAGATGACTCAGTGCTGTTACCACAATATTAACTTCAGACGATTCTGGTGAACGAGATCTGTATACGGACTGGATATCAATGCCTGTCTAAATTCCCCATTTTTCGTCACCCAAAGTTTGACGCCCTATAGCTACTTCTTTCATGGGGTGGGTTTAAAAAAAATTATGCTCACGTGAACAAGCAACCTCCCAACATTTGATACAAAAAATAAAAATGACCGGAATCGACTTGACAAAAACAAGGTAAAGGAAACAATAACCCATGAAATTAATCTGTAATTTCCCTATTTTGGAGATAATTAACCGTACATAGTAGATAAAAAAAAAAAACTAACAATTTATTTTCCTTTTCAATCATATGGTGTTTACTACCAGCCCTAAAATACATTAGTATCTGTTTTATAAAAATATCTTGAAAAAAATATACTTTCAAAGGCCTGTAATCGTTCATGGCTCATCTGGCGTCGATAGGAATTGGCTTCCGCAGTTGTCCACGAGCTTCCATTGGAGAATCGACGTGCTCAGTCTTAACAAACATATCCATTACTCTCAAGTAGACACTATTTTAAATAAAATAATCCAAACAAAAATGAAAAATTCACCTAAAAGTGAGATTCGAACCACCAACCGCGTGACTTCCCCCGACCCACCCTCTCACCGAGTTGCTTGTCCCAGGGCCCCAAGGTACATGTCGTGGGCCTCTCTTATTCTAAATCCGGCCCTGGCGGTGCCCGAGTGCCGTCGCTATCATACTACACTGTTCAATGTCGCCCACTGCGACGCAAGGCTTCGTTGCCGTTAATATTTAAGCTTCCACATTTCTGTATTGTAGAAATCAGTGGATGTGTCCCAAAATGAATAGTGGAAACATGCTCTGAAATTAAACATTTTGTAGCCATTTTCGGTAACCTGTTTGAAAATGAAATCTTAAAGAGACAATACAACAAATATGTTAAAGGGACAATACGACAATACCAAATATACAATAAATACAAATACACACTTATATACAGTACCACATGGTACAAATGATGGCTATGGATATGATGAAAACGTATAAAAGTCAAAAAATTTATTTCTCTAATTAAATTTGTAAAAAAATGTATCACAAAAGCTTATTTTTAGCACTTTTCAATAAGTTGTATATTTTAAGTATGTTGCATTCCGGTCATTTTTTTACACCTATGGAAACTATGTGCTTAGCACTTCAAGACCATCCAAAGAAATTCTACTTGCGACCAGGAAAGAAAAAGTTACAGTGTATCATTTTCTGCACTATAAGGACAATGTGAATATGGTACCCTAAAACAAGTCCACACAAAATTAGTATGTACTGATTTTTTTTTTTTTCAAATTAGTGCTGGGGTGGAAGTTGACCACCAGTTTTATCAGACAGGATCAAAATTAGAAGGTTGCTATTCCACCATAGAATGCAGTCTGTGCTTAAAAAGGGTGATAAATACACATGTGAAAATCGCAATTTTACCCATAAAATGAATAATTCCAGTACAGTCCTTTAGAGCGACATCTGACTGTAACCACTTCAGCATGTCACCTCTTGCTCCTAGTGTGTGTCATACCATAAGTTAGATAACAAACCTTAATCTCCCACCTCTCCGTGTTTCGAGTTAAGAACTGAGGCCATGACCTATAACGTTGCAACTGCGGGAGCGATTCACACCCGGCATTTTTAAACAAAATTGACAATAGTTTTAATCAAAACAACGATTGATTATTGTTATTTATAATATTTCTATAACACCCAACTACAATTAAGCATATAATCCTACCTGAAACGGGTAGAAATCGTCGTTTTTAAAATCGAGGCGTTAAGCCCTACTAAGACCGCCATCTTTTTAAACGATACGCTGTCTTCATCATGAAGGCGGGGGTAAATATAAGTCTTTTATAACAGCCAATCAAAAGGACAATCGAAAGCACAGTAACTATGAATGGATTTCGATGGCGGTGAAATGTCAGACAAAAACAACGCTTCATTAATTTAAACGCGAATATTTGGAGTTAGGCGACAGTTGTGCCACTACATTGGCCTCTGTAAGTTTAATTAATCATAATATCATAAACTTGTCTATTTTAAAGATGTTACATGCATTAATAAAGAAATTGAGTTTGCCACTTGGAACTAAAGGCATCCAATCGTAGCTAAAAACAAACACATCAGTATATCTCAACGTTTTTAGCTACGTTCTCGTAGCTAACCATAAGTTTGATCAAAAACTTCCGAACCCCATCTTAGCACTTTTTGCATGGTCTACTCGCGAATACACTCTTAAATACTAAGCATAAATATAACAAAATGTTGACTAAGTCTGGCATTCTTTAATCTTTGACTCATTTCGTTTTAATAACTGTTGATTATAAATCACGGCGTCCTCGTCCTAAAATGAACTTAGTCCTGTGATCTCTAGCTCAAAGTCGCTTGGATGTACTCTCACACACTGTTCCAAACCTGTGGAATTCTTTGCCCATGACTATAAAGAATTTGTAATCTCTTAAAGTTCATCTGTTTTTCGACTGGGTGGCTAAGCGACTAAGACTCTGTTTTCGACTGATCTTTCGGTTGGGATGGAAATTCGAGGGCCCAAGTGCACATCGGCGTGTTTTCGACTGATCTTTCGGTTGGGATGGAAATTCAAGGGCCCATTTGCACATCGGTGTGTGCGTAAAAGAACCTTTGAGAGTTGGAATTCAGTTGCTGTCCGGGTAAAATGTTTCTCACAGCATACTGAATAGTGTATACCCGTCTTCATTAGCCCGATAGAAGAGGATATTGAACCCATTGCATTCATTCATATCCGGCCTCCATATCAAAATAAGTTGGCCATAATAACTGAATAACAAGTTCAAACATATTTACTACATTAAACGGTATTTATAACTACGTTAAAAATATTCATAACAAAACATGATAATTATTAGCAATAAACGGCATCAACAGGTATCCATGACGACTACATGATAGTTATTAATAAAGAACGGCATCAACAGGTATTTATGATAACATGGTAAATATTAATAATAAATAATGACTGCATCATCATGTATCCTTGAAGTGGTGGACACACTAGCCGAATGATTCGGCCGAATCAATCGGCGTGGAAATTCGCCTAGTGTGTCCACTGTCATTCGGCCGAATGATTCGCCCAAATCAAACAGGTTTGATATATTCGGCCGAATTATATTCGCCTGGTGTGTCCGCTTCGCCGAAGCATTCGGCCGAATGTAGAATTCATTAGCCAATCACCACTCATATAGAGAAGTCACGTGATAGTTTGAAGAAATAGACGCCGCCATGTTTATTCATGTGACGTGAAAGGTGATGCAATCGACTGGTGAATCGGGCGAAGCATTCGGCTAGTGTGTCCACCCATTCGGCCGAATAAAATTGGACGGCGGTAACAAGTATTTGGTCGGCGGTAATTATATTACGGTCGAAAGTCATTACAATGCGGTCGGCGGTAAAAAGTATTTGGTCGGCGGTAATTTCACGGCGGTAAAAGTATTGGTCGGCGGTAAAAAGTACCACCCCTTAAATAACGTACCAAGAATCTTGGTCCAAAGCTGTCTCTTAAGGTGATTCAAAAGCTTTGAAATCGAATTTTAAGTGGTTAAACTGTACTGTTTGGCTCCATCATCTACCAAAGAGGACAAATTGATTGAACTTCATAACACAAAAACAAAGGCGGATCCAGAGACCATGGATAGGGGGTGCACTGGCGCCGAAGCCGCACGCTACAAGCGCATATGACTTAAAGCGTCCACTGATCTCTATAAATAATAGAGATCAGTGGAAGCGTCCCACCAGGTTTCCAGGATTTTATTGCCAGAAAGGTTTATCGTATTAAAAATGGCCACCATCTTGGATTCTCCAATGACTTTATAATTAGTCTACTTTATAATGGCTTTTTTTCAAAAAAGTCCCGAAGGAGTATTTTACCAATTTTGATACCTATATCTGCATTTGAAAGATTTCCAAGATGTTATCAGGTATCTGCTGCACTAAGGCGATCCCTGTTGAAAACAATTTTTCAGATTTTGCAAATCTTAAGTTTCAGAAACGAGAGGAATGTAGGCTCATGGAGCTTTGATATGGCTAGCTTTCAAACAAAAGTAACAAGTACATACATTCATTTTTATGTCCTTCCGATACCCCAAATGAACATCAATAATCGAGCTATCTCAAAACAAGAGAAACATCTCTAAATGGATTCCCAATTCAAATTAAGAAGGACTCCAGTTATACAAATTACAATTTATTGAGCTTTCTATTGTAATAAAAGAAAATAACATTATAAAAGCCAACCTATCCATGTAAATTTATTATCAGGTGATAATGAAAAAGCCTGCACCCACCATATCAACATCATTAATTTTTATCAAAACTTAGACATACATTATGCAAGAGCTAGCCTGCGATATTTATTGGATTATGATCCGATTTGCTACTCAACTTTCATTCATAATTTAATCATAAAATGGATAATCGAGACTATGTTTTTTATCTACCGACTTTAGTAATGATGATCAAGGCTCGGCCGATATTTCAATCGCTTAATTCTCGGTTCATAGTAGATAAATTTGAGTGAAATTTTCAGCAAATTGCCTTTACATTATCTAGTTTTTAACTATTATAGTGAGAAGTGCCAGCTCTTTATCTAATCTCCCATAATGTATCTTTAACTATATTATTTTCATGTTGAAGAATTCAATCTTCATTTGTAGATTGTGGGACAACTGGTTATCATGTCTATGGGTGTGTTGTATGCCAAGAAACAGAATTTTACCAAGATGACAGTGTTCCTCTCTACTGGTTCAATTCCAGCTGTCATGGGATCTTATATTGTAAAGGGACACAAATTTTAAAATTCACATAAATATCAAAACAGATCTTTTTACTTGAAGTTGGCAGATGGCCCGAAACATATTTTCACTGTTCAGCACAGGTACATGTACAGTTCAATTTTGTTTTCATCTTTGTGCATCGGTTATGATTTAAACAGGCATTATGTAAGAGCTAAATCTGCCTATTGCAGGTCTTTCTTTGTGCCTTAAATGTTCTATAAATTATTAGACATTAACTAACTTATCAAGACCATAATTAACTCTCGATGCCATCGTATAGTCTAGATTTTGAACAGATTTAAATCTGATCTGTGGTTCAACGACAGTTGAAGATTTACCGTAAAAGTGGATAATCGAGACTTTGGTTATCGTAACAACGGTAGCAATGACAATCGAGGCTACGGTGTTATATTGTAATGAGAATATCTTGACGCAGAGTGAACTAATTTGACTGAAATTTTATACATATTTCCTTTACGTAACCTTTTTTTTAACTATTATAGTGAGAACTGCCAGCTCTTTATCTAATCTTCCATAATGCCCCTTTAAAGTTGCAATTTCATATTTTTAAGTTATATTTTTAAAATTTATTAAAATAAAGCCTTAAAATAGATGTTATCTATAAGCAGTCCTACCTTGTTAAAGAATAATCCTATTAATCCTATAATTCATTATTGCCAGTTGAGAAATTGGCAAAAATATCATTTTCAACTTTAAATTCAAACGTTTGAAGATAGCTATTCCATGGGGGGAATAGAAAAACAAGGGAGGCAATTGTGTTATTATTTCCGGGGTCAAAGGATTTTTAAGTGTGAGAATAATACCTATGATCGTATAATAGTGAGTTGACATAATTATGTTTTGACTTTCTTAGAAAATATGGAATTATCGCTTTAAGGTTCAAATAATTTGGTATGTATGTGTTGTATTCATATAGTATAATATGTATCACATAATACACGTTGATAATACATTCCTGTAGATAACTGTTAAAATTATAACCCTAATGGCAGGTGATAATTACCAAAAATCAATAATCCTGTACTGGGATAGACTTGTCCTGTAAATCCAGCTTAATCAGATTAAAAAACAAAAATGCATTTTCTGTGACATCTCATAGTTTTACCCTTTGTGTAACTACATTTGTATTGCTTTTTTTTATTCTATATTAAATTGTTTACAGTTTTTAAAAGTAAATGAAACTTTGTGTAACTACATTTGTATTGCTTTTTTATTCTATATTAAATTATGTACAGTTTTTAATAGTAAATTAAGCTTTTCAAATTTCACATTTTTCCAATGCATATAAACCCTTCGAACTTCCACAGTTTCTCACAGTTTTAGGCTTTGTGTTACTACATTTGTATTGCTATTTTATTCTATATCAAATTATTTACAGTTTTTAACAGTAAATTAAGCTTTCCAAATTTCACATTTTCCCAATACATATAAACAGTTTTTCACACATTCACAAGTTTGCATCAGTTAAAAATTCCACTTTTCACTGCACATGAAGAATAAATGTATTCAGATTTCCACTGTTTTCTGTGTAATTTTCACATTTTCTGTATTAATCAATTGTTTTGTACATTGCATCTTGGCTGAAAATTTCACCATTATCTATGCGAACAAATACAGTAGTTGACTGTTTTCAGTAATAGTATTATACACTTTTTCAATATTACAATATTTTTAATATACAATATTTCAACCAGAATGGGTCTTTTTCCAAATGTCACTATTTTTTCTGTGAAAGAATACAATATTTCACTATTTTCGATGAAACAGTGTCTGTGCTTAAATTTTCACCATTTAGTACGTGAAAGAATTTTATTTTGGTCTAAATTTTACAGTATTTCTCTGTTTCAACCAGAATGGGTCTTTTCCCAAATGTCACTATTTTTTCTGTGAAAGAATACAATATTTCACTGTATTTTGATGAAAAAATGTCTGTGCTTAAATTTTCACCATTTACTATGTGAAAGAATTTTATTTTGGTCTCAAATTTACAGATTCCAATATAAATGAAAAAACTAAGTACCACTATCTAACACCTTGAATTGTCTGCATTATGTATCGACCTGCGTTATTTCACTTGTTAGAGACAAAATTATTTTATTGGCCTCTCGTATACCACTTAAATAAGCACCAGTTACAGATTGTGGAAACTGTTTATTAGTTGCCTGCAAAATAAGAATATGAACATATAAATAATTAATAAAACCATTAACTGTAATAAAACAGTAATCAACTAAAAATGGCTAGACCCCTTTGACATGGGTCCAAATAAAATTGTTGAATTCCCTGTATTTTATAAGCTGACTAGCGTTTGACCTGGCGCTGCACTGGTTTTGCCTGTAACATCCGAAACCAGAAGTGGTTGTCCATCGCCACCAAAGCTATGTTACTCCCTAGTCCGCGTTACGCCAGTACACCAAATTTCAGCCTTGGGACAGCCCTAGTGCAGCCGCAAACCCTGAACAGACAGACAGACAACAGTCATAAATATTGGTATTGATTTGCTTTGTGGGATAGCAGTCTGTCTTTGCTTAAATTTGATAGCATATAGCAGAGATGGCTTCATCACTAATTAAAATAACACATTATATCAATCAAATTCAATGATTTATTTTGTCCTACTATAAGCATTACTTGTACAAGTATACATACATGTGCCTAGTTTATTTTATTCAATGTTGGTTGAAGGAAAGAGAAAAGTGTTGCCATGGAACAATATTTTATACACATTACAAACTGCCAAAACCCATGCGGTTCTGCAGGTGACCCTACTCTTTCTCATCGTATGATCTGAAGTCAGCCAGTTAGACAATTCAACCAACCCTCAAAGCAAGAACGAGAATAATTCATATTCAGAAATTCACGAGTGAAAAACTACAAACCTCTCCTGCAAAGTAAATTTTATCGTTGACATCTTCTGCCATGTCGTCATACAGACTGCCGTCACTGCCAACGGGCATATAACTATATGCCATGCCAGCGAAAGGATCACTATCCCAATGTGTAACTAGATAATTCACTGGGTCAGGTATCGTCTGAAACAAAATGTAAGCAGATTATTTTGTGTGTGGCAGTTACTTGTTTAGCTCTTAGCGCCGTCTGCTCTACCAAACAGTCAAGGGTGAAAACTTGAGCTTTTGTCTCATCCTTGTTAGCCCAACAGACATCAATTTGATTAAAACACAGATCCTATTTCGTTTTGTTTTTACAGTTCAAAATTTTGTTTTACTTGTCTTCACAACACTAGGATCTGGAAGGGTTGTTATATTACCGGTGTTTTGGTTCAAGTGAGTGATAAGCCAATGAAACGGTCTGTTACGGAGACTTCTTGATGTGCCATGCATGAACTGTGGGTAAACCACTAGAAACGTCAATGCTTATTGATTAATCAATGTCTGATGTCATAGGGTCAAAAGAAGCTCGTACGACCCCCTGACACGACCTTCGAGTACAACTTCATGTAGTGTAGATCTTCATGTAGTGTAGGCCATCGAAAGCATAAAAAAAAGTAACGAAACATAGATCTATATTTTAATCAGATTGAACAGACACCATAACTAACAATTCATGATAGTTTGTCTTGGCCCACACTAGGATTTGAACAATGACGATTCCAGTGTCCTCACCGATGAACTACCCTGGTCCCGTATCTTGACTCCCTATTAAGTCTATGCAGCAGTAATAGGTAAATGGTCAGGACACTGGACTAAAACGTCCTTGGTTCCATTCTGTCTTGGAAGAGAAAAACATAATAATTAATTGTAAGACGTCCGTCTGTGGCACAGACAAAAAAGGTGTGCTTTGTAGTTTGGGTGGGACAAAAAAAAGAGATCCACCTGTGTACATATCGGTGTGCACATTAAAGAACCGTTAACAGTCGGAAAAAAAGGAGAGCAGGTGGAAACGTATGGCACATGTAACCATAATCATATATTTGTCTCAAAAATACTGAAGGAATATTAAACCCTATTCAATTCCAATCTATAAACTCCAATAAAAAAACAATAAAATTATTTCATTTCTTGGGGATTGCAAATTCTATGACACTCCATTTTTTTTTTATTAAAACAGAAAGATTTGGGTTGAGGCAGTTAAACTATATTTTATTTAACACAACAAACTTGAACAAGACTGTGTAAAAGTTGAATAGTTTAATTAAGGAAGCATTGCAGGTGATAGCCCTTCATCAAGTCCATCTAGATTTACTAATTATAATATGAACCAAAACACAAATACAAAATAATCAATAAATAACATTAATATCTAAGGCTACATAAAAAAAATTATATGTTTCTTAGACAACTGTTTGATGAGCGTGAATTTCCTTTTTCTAAAATACTAATCCAATTGTAACAGACAACAGTAGGCCTATTAATAAAGAGGCAACTGTGTCTAAGAAACATAATATTATTGCTGGCCTTATTAAGACACATACCTGAGCAGGAAAGAGAGATTTGAGTGTATTTAAACAGAGATTAACAACTTCTTTATCAGTTTTATCTTTAATTAGATTTAACGCCTCACCTGAGACATTAGTCACTAATATACCACTATCGCTTGTCTGTAATAACAAATAGTCACAGGTAAATAATTTTCATGTAAAACACAGTTGACCATAATAGCCCATTTTGAGTTTAAAGGGACTATCCCTTATTTGAACAGAGTCTCAAAAATAAAAGTCTGAGTATGTATGAAATTTAAACACCAAAATATAGAGGAATGGTGTATTGACAGTATCTCAAAATTTCAGCTCAAAATATTAAGTCATTTGGACGTGACCGTCAAAACTGCTTATCCGGACACGTAACCCTTTTAAGATTTTGGGTCAATTTTTTCGTTGGGAGACCTGATAATCGATTCCCGTTCATTGAGAGGTCTATACGGTGAATGACTCAAATGCTGTACTTGATATTGAAAGGTAAATTTCACCTACACATTATTTTTATACAAAAAATGTCTGGTTTTATCTAGACACCTCATAATACAGCTTGGGACACCCGTCTCCATTTCCAGATGAAGACTGAGGGGTTTCAGTTATTTGAAAACTTATCACAAATATTGAGTTAGTTGCTCGGCCCTTAGGTAAAGGATTTTAAGGGATTTTAAAACCAAATTAAACAGTTTTATTCTCCCAAAAAAATATAGGGATTAGCCCTTTAATTTATAGCACATTTTGAGTTTAATTTACCATAATAGCCCATTTGAGTTTAATTTATCATAATATACCATTTTTGAGTTTAATTTACCATAATAGACCATTTTGAGTTTAATTTACCATAACAGCTCATTTTGAGTTTAATTTAATATATACTGTACACAAAATGTTCAAATCTGAGACAAATTCATTCCTAAGAAAACAAGTACAAGAATACTATGGTAGGGTGACCCACCATAAATAAATATCTCCATATATCTCCACAATTACGCCACAATATTTATATATATATGCCAAGCCTCAAATCAGTTTCACACAATTATAGTCACTAAATAAACGATCATGTTGTACTTAATAAGTTATGACCATTAATCATGTATAAATAATAGACTGAAAACTGGTTCCAAGAGTCGTCCATAACATCCAGACACTTTTGAGTAAAAGATAGGTTACATGCCCTTGTTTTGAAATTAGTATCGCTTAACCAGTCTATCTACCATTCTACGTCTGATTGACAGGTCGGGATAATCAAGACTACTTTTTTACAAAACATAAGAGAAAGCTAGAACAAGAAATTGAATTTAGAAATAAGCACGTTAGGTAGCTCAACGATCGTTTTAAGAAGCTTGTAAAAGTAAAAAGAAACTACTGCTAGTATCATGTTCCTGTCTAACCCGAGTGATTCAGAGATATTATTTGTACTAAACCAAATGATGCCGCTCTTAACGGTACAGTTAATGATAAAGCGATTTAAAAAATGAAACGAACGTAATTTCTAAATCTGCTGTAATAACCAAGAAGCTTAATTTTACTGCTATTCAAAATTGTCAACAATAAATTTTTTACGGCTGTAATAGTTGATAGATTTGTAGAGAAATGCACGTGCCATGGCTATTTATAGTATCATACTGTCAGAAAGTTGGTCTCGGCATGGCGAATGTGCACGCTTCAGTGGTAGTCTCGAACTATCAGCGGTGGACTGTATTTCTGTGAGTACATGGGTCACCCTAACTATGGACCAAGAACCGAGCAAGGTGTCTTCGCTCTCATCTTTGAATTGTGACATTGTATCAAAAATGGAACTCGGTAAATCGGTACGCAATTGTTCAGGAGAAAGCATGACTAGTTTAATGTCGATAGAAGAGCTTCAAGCGCAAGCAGCACCCCCCCCCCATTAAAATGGAAACGATATATAATTCTAAATAAGATATATTAATTCTTACTGAGGTAGATATATCATAAAATACATTAAATAATCCACGCTGTTTCTCTTCAGCTGGCACATGACCAAAAAAATCATCTTCATCTGTTTTACTCTTCCAGAATTTCTTATTAAACTGTAATGCTACCTGAATAAGCGAAAAAAAAACAAAATAAATATTCAGGAAAAGAAATGGAGAAAGACAGACAGAGAAAAAGAAAGATAAATCATGAAATGGAATGAGGTTTAACGGACTACTGTTCTGCTCTGCAGGGGCGTACATAACGATTTTGTTTGGGGGGGGGGGGGTAGACAAAATGCGACCGACTGATGCCCATACCCCTAGTACGAGTGACGCAGTCAGGAGCGAGTTTTGTAGGGGCCCTGTGCAGAAGCGGATCTAGATAGGGGGGGGGGGGGGTCCAAATCTAGGGCGCCACCCCAGCCACAATTCCACCCCACAATGAATGTCAACAAAATACTGGCTATAACATTCCGGTAGAACATAGGTGGTATTGTATAATTATATAGTTGTTTGCCGATCGATGTCTCGCTGGAAAGCAGTTTTATTTAAGTTGACATAAAGTTTATGTCATATATGATTGTGCCTATAACACTGAGCAACCTTCCGGTAGAACATAGGTGGTATTGTATAATTATATAGTAGTTTGCCGATCGATGTCTCGCTGGAAAGCAGTTTTATTTAAGTTGACATAAAGTTTATGTCATATATGATTGTGCCTATAACACTGAGCAACCTGAGAAAATTTTGAAATATTGAGACAATATCTTGGCATTTGAGGTCATTGCTTGGAGAAATTCTTGTAGAAGAGAGGACCAGAAATGTGAGTCAATTAGACAAAATCTCGAGATCTGCCCCTGTCAATTCCGCCTGTTTTGCAAGAGTTGACAGAACTTTTGTATAGCCTGACGCCCCACGACCCACACACCAGTGCCAGTGGTACTACTAGGCAGATCAGTATAACCGTGAATATGATAGCGCTGAGACAGTATAAGACAACAGAGGAGTGGAAAAATGATGTTATAATGGAATCGAGTGCCGCAGGCACGAACAAATTTCAGATGTGTAACCGAGCTTTTAATTTTTGGGACTGGGCCTGACAATTTTATTCAATGTCATGGCAAATGGATCCAAATTCTCGTTAACGAGAGGATAAGAAATGGGACAGAATCTTGAGGCCTATCTGTCAATGTCGCCTGTTTTGTGAGAGTAGAACTAACAATTCTACAGTCTTTTGAACCACGACTCACTCACTAGTGGTACTACTAACTGGGCGATTCACTGTAACTGTGAATATGATAGTGATGAGATAGTATAAGACAGAGAAGGAGTTGAAGAATGATGGCATAATGGAATTGAGCGCCGATATGTAACTGAGCTTTTAATTTTTGAGGACTGGGCCTGAGGGCACTTTACCTCAATGGGGCGCTTACTTGGTCTCTGAAATGCCCTGGACTTTGGGGAGAGATTTTGCAGAATTCTGATGGTCAGAAAACACCCCATTAATTCATTTAGTCTGAGACCGACTGCAGTGAGCACTTTTTTTTGAGACCGACTATTTTTTTGCCATGGGGTGAAAAACATTTTTTTCAAACATGATAAGTTGACAAGGTTATTTTATACTAAAGTTTTGCGTGAGTAGAGTGACGTGTGCAGTGAGCACTTATTTTGATACCGACTGCTCATATCTTACGACCGACTGGACTGATTTTGCGACTGACTAGTATTTGGGATCTATTTTGGCATTATTTGTTTACCTCATTAATTCATTAAGACGGAGATGCATAGTTTTGAGACCGACTGCAGTGACTGCACTTATTTTGAGACCGACTATTTTTCTACCTGGGGGAAATTTTGTTCTTAGACCTACATACTCACAACAGAATAAGAGTGAAACACATCATTTTTTCAAACATGATAAGTTGACAAGGTTATTTTATACTAAAGTTTTGCACGAGTAGCGTGACGTGTGCAGTGAGCAATTATTTTGATACCGACTGCTCTTATTTTGCGACTGACTGCACTGGTTTTGCGACCGACTATTTTTTTTCCTGGGGGCCACCCCCCCACATTTACGCCCCTGCTGCTCTGACTGGACTATGAAGACAGGCATATGCCATACAGTATGCTATGAGGGAAATTTTGCCTGGACAGGAAAGCTATGGCTTAATCTTATATCAAATTCCAACTGCCAAGGGATCTTTTAAATGCATGCAGATGTGTACATGGGTCCTCAGATTTTCGTATCATCTGAACAACTAGACAGCTGTCCTTGTCAGGCTCTCCATACTGCATCAATGACAAGGGGAAACCACGCCGAAAAATCTTGATAAACTATGTCGGTCAACACCAGGAGTGAAACCGCGACCTCCAGACTAGCGAGCCAGAGCCTAAGCCACTTAGCCACCGTGGCTCCCAAGAGATAAATCAGGTTTATAGTTGACTTAACACACCTAGGAACTTATAATATGTGGTATATTTTCAGGTTTTTTGGAGTGGGTAGAAATAGAAGCAGCAGAAAAATATAGATATGAATAGAATGGAGTTCACTGTTTTGATAATTCATTCTTGAGGTCATTTTGAGATTAACAAATGTAATGAAATGAAATGGGGTTAACGTCCTACTGTTCTGCTTGAAACTGGGTTAATGAAGACGGGCATACGCCATACAGTGTGCTTTGAGGAAAATTTTGCCCGGACAGCGGCACAATATGGCCTACTCCTATATCGAATTCCAACTGCCAAGGGATCTTTTATGTGCACTCAAATGTGTACATGGGACCTTGGTTTTTCGTATCATCCGAACGACTTGACAGCTGTCCAGGTCAGGCCAAAATTAACAAACAATTCTAGTACCAAATAAAGCATAAAATAAAACAAATACTTTAAATCATACTTCTTGTTGTTTTTTGTTTTTTTCATTATTATTCTTTTTGATGTAAGGAATTAGCTAATGAAATAGTCAGTTTTATCAAGATTTACATGAGCTGTGCTCTGGATTAAGGAAAGTATACAGGGAGGCAGGGCTCTATAAAAGTTGAGTGTGCCTGCGCACACACTTGAAAATGTACCTGCAGGGTCATACTGAAACACAGGGATGTAGCCAGGATTTGGTGAATGGTGTAAAAATATATTTGGCGAGCAGAGCGAGTAAAAAAAAATTTTGGGAGGGGGGCGTGGTCTTTTATGAAAATTAAACCCTTCTTGGTGTATTTTCAGAGCATCTGCTGCCTTTTGTATTTGGTTCAGTGCAAATCAAATTTCCATTTATATATTCAAATTTTACCAAAACACGTTGTATTATTTGACTTGTTTGTAAAGTTGTTGTACGTGTCTCACGAATATTATCATTATTAATATTACGGTGGAATGAGAATCAGGTCAGGCAGAAACTGAGAAAGTTCTCATCGTCCTCCTAGTCCTACTCTCGGGCCGTAGCAAATCCACGGTCAACACAGGTAAGAAATATCGTGAAAATTTGCAGGCACGTGTTGGACAATTACGACATTCAAACCTTTAACATTGGAGTGCCGTAAATTGGTCTGGGTGACCTATTTACGGCAAATAAACAAATATAAAGACCGTAGAATAATTGTAAAATGAATAGACCTAGGCCTACACATCTTCTAAGTATAAATAAACAAAATACCAATACATCTTTCTTTAAACTAATTTGGGATGATAGGGTCTACTACGGCACACAAAAATAAATTATGCCGTGACAGAAATGGTTTACGTACCATGGCTTTGCCGTTTAATTGCCGTGGACGTGGTAAATTTGGAGCGCCGAGTTTGTGTACAGAGAAGGACAAAGGGGTTTAAATACAACTGGGCCACTTTTTTTGATTTTTTCTTTGTGCTGGGCGGCAGAAAATAATGCCGGGCGACATCTGAAAAATGTGCCTGCAAACATTATTTTTAAAGCAAATGTGCCTGCGCAGCCGTGCGCATGTGCGCAGAAATATCAATGCGTGCAGGGAGGAGTTGACAAAATAAAATATAGATAGTTTTCGCAATTCGATTGTCAATGATTTAGTTTAAATAAAAGTAATACCTTTTCTAGAGAGCCTGCTCCTAGTGAAGTTATAGCTTGTATCTTTTTTTCTGGTAATGTTGGCGTAAATTGTATAGTTTGTTTCTTTAATAAGGCTAATGGCACTGTTACCAGTACCTGAAAACAGAGTATAATGATTATAAAGATGAAAATGAATATAAAAGATGTAATTCTAGGTTAAAACATAAAAAAAACATAGACAAGGGCAACATGTCATGTCACTAGTTGAAAATTTTTTTTGTCATTAACTCATGAAATTTCAAGGTTTTTTTTTTTTTGAAAAAATCCAACTTCTGTGAACTCTGTAAAAGCTATAGCAGTCTAAATGTGAACAGAAAATGTAACTCGCAAAACATGTGAAAATTAGGATTCTCGAACGCCATACAGCGTGCAATGAGGGAAATTTTGCCCAGGCAGCGGCACTACGGCCTACTCTTATATCGAATTCCAACAACTGTCATGGGATCTTTTACGTGCACACCAATGTGTACACGGGACCTCGGTTTTTCGTCCCATCCGAACGACTAGACAGCTGTCCTTGTCAGGCCCTCCGTCCTGCATCACTGACAAGGGTGAACCGCGCCAGAAAATCTGTTGTCACTGGTATTCAGACGATGATTAAAACAAAGTTAGTTGATAGAAATAAGAATTAGATGATGGAGAAATCAGTGTAAGTCTAACCTTATGAGCAGTGTAAGTTTTATCTGTTGTTTTAACAGCTATTAGATCATCACTATAATCTACTCCTAAAACCTGAAATATATAAATTAAATATACAAGTACTGCTAGATATATGAAATCAGGCGCTCATGTTATTCAAGCAGTTTGGGTATTGGATTCTCAAACAGAATGTACCAGGTCTGAATCCAGGCCTGGACAGTGATAAACTTTCAGGATAATTTATGTCTGGCCTTCAGATGTTGTTAGGTGTGGTGCCCGCAAGTGTGACTAGTTGTTTGGGTGGGACTAAAAATCAACGTCCATCATGTACACTTTGGTATGCATGTAAAAAACAATTGACAGCTGGAAATTGAATAAAAGTGTGGTAGGCAGAAACACGGCTAGGTGTGGTGCCTGCAAGTGTGACTAGTTGTTTGTATGGTGCTAAAAACTGACGTCAATCATGTCTACAGTGACATGCATGTAAAATAACCGTTGACAGTTGGAAATTGAGTAAAAGTGTGTGGAATCGAGACTATCCTGGCAAGATTCTTACAGATCCGTTTCACCCATATGATCTATCCATTTCAAAATATAAGGACAATTATCATAGATATTTTTGAAGATTGATTTTTATATTGAATCAAGCCCTATTTATCAAATAAAAATACATTAAAATATTTAGACAAAAAATTTTGGGTAGTCTTCCCCCTTAATCAAGGACAGCAACTCTGAGAGGAATTTTGGGAAGTAAACATCACAAACCTGAGTATTTAAGTAGAGATCTATGTTTTCACTCATTCGCTTCACAACCTGTGAGTAGCCATCTTTCATTAAGACTGCATCACCCGAAAACTGAGGTAGAGATTCGTTGTGGTCCCAATTTAAAGCAGAAACTTTGGACAAGGAGGCACCACATGCATACTCCAAATTTCCCAAATGGAACTGTAGAACTTGTTCTTCTTCCTTTGGAAAAAACTAAAAGTCATTTTGTGGTTTAATAAACACAAACAAGCAAGCAAGCCACATGACATGAAAGAGGATAGAATAACAAATAGATTGGAATTAATACATACAAAATACAAATAGCATGAGAGAGAGAGAGAGAGAGAGAGAGAGAAAGAGAGAGAGCTGTTATGTGATGATGGTGATAAGCCATAAGACAAAGAGAGATGATGTCAGCAACTATTCAATGCAACCAGCTCATTTTGGGAGTAACAAATAACACTGGTTAATTAGGGTTGAAAGCAGTGTCCCTATTTCAAATTTTTCTTGTCAGACATTTTTACTGAAAATAAAGGGGTGTAACTCTTATCGCTAGTTAAGCAGGCGGATTCAGCAGCTGCCAGGCAGGATACACCCACATTTTGCAAGAGATGGTTAGAGCACAAAATCGATTTTTCGTACAATCCAGGGCCATAATTCAGGAAGTTACGATCCGATATGTGCGAAGATCTTTGGGTTATAAAGATATATTTCAAGTTTCATCAAAAACGGATCAAAATTGTAACTCCTAGAGGGTCTGCAACCTTGATATACGAGGGGTGGCCATTTTGTCCGAAATTCGAACTCAACCATCATTAGAATGTAACAGTGATATATTCAAACATTTTTTTTAAATCGGATAAAAATTGTTACCTCCAGAGTTACTGCAAACATATTGTGGACGGGGTCGACGACAATATACGTCCACATGAAAATGTGGGCATATAAAAATCACTTGTAAACCTAGTCGGAGCTTTGGAAAATACTGTAAAACATGTCCGGAATATACGGGCGAAATAGCATCAATGGTTGAAAGACCATTATCGAATTCCTGTGTAACTACCCGAGAAATACAAACTTTGAGTTTCCAAATTCCATTCTCTGCAAGTACCTAGATAACCTTGTCAAAGTTATCAAGTCACTCATATAATTAAATGAAATGAAATGAAATGGGGTTTAACGTCCTACTGTTCTGCTCCTATACTGGGCTAATGGAGACGGGCATACGCCATACAGTGTGCTATGAGGAAAATTTTGCCCGGGCAGCGGCACTATCGCCTACTCTTATATTGAATTCCAACTGCCAAGGGATCTTTTACGTGCATTCCAATGTTTACACAGGACCTAGGTTTTTCGTATCATCCGAAGGACTAGACAGCTGTCCTTGTCAGGCCCTCCGTCCTGCATCACTGACAAGGGGAAACCACGTCGAAAAATCAGGATGAACTTTCTCGGCCAATGCAGGGATCGAACACCCGACCTCCAGGCTAGCGGGCCAGCGCCTTACCCACCTAGCCACCGTGGCTCCATATAATTAAATAAATAAATCTCCCAAATGATTTATGTGACCCAGGATAAACAAATCTATTTTCAATTCAAACATGCTAAATATGGTGCAATACAGAGAATAACAAATATTAAAGAACACAATAACAAAAGTGGTTAAGTGTTATTACAATAGCTACATGCAGTTTCAGAAAATATGATTATCAAGTCATCATATTTTATATTTTGGGATCTAAAAGTATTTTCAGGCGACTTGGGAGGTCCGAAATTGCCACATGCCGAGTTGGACACAACAAGATTTAGAGTTAGGGGATGGCAAAACCAGAATTTTGAAAAGCAGCTTGAAAACAGACAACACTCAAGGGTACACTAAAGTCAATATGGCTACCAGTTCTATTGACAGTCACATCCTTTGCATACGCTTTAGCTTATTTTTCAAATCCACACCAATTCTCGACACCAATTTCACAAAGATTACATCGCTTACAATCGAGTGATGCTCATAGAAAAACATTCCACTTGTAATATAGTCATTTTCATGCATGTTGATTTCACTACAACAGGATTACCCGTGATAGAACAGATCAAAGAATAAAACTGCACGTAGCCACTATTTCGACACATGTTATCTACAGATGTTCAGACTATCTGACGCCTCAAATAACCCAACATTGAAAGAAAGCATGCAGTGTCCACCTTACAACAGGTTAAATTGATTTATGATTTATTTTATAGTTTATCACACAGTTTAGACCACAATGTGTTACGATTTGCATTTTGGTATTCTAAATTGATTCTTATTCAGAATTCTTACATTTGGAGTTGTTTAGTTCCATTTCGTGTACGGGAATTAAATCAAGGATTGGTTTTAAATTAATTATGGTTTTGAAATAATATCAATCTAATTTGTCTTATTTAAAAGGGGCTCTTGCGCAATTTAGTTGATTATTGGGTAATACGTAGAGTCCATGATGTATTTTGGCGAGTGATTCAGCTGTCAAAATGTAATTATAAAATACCTTTTTATAAAGAAGATAAATGATGTTAGAAATCATAAACTAACAAACAATATGAGGAAACTTTATTACAAAAACATTGGTGAACTAATCTAAAATTATAACGGAAATTAACCAACAATACTTTACTACAAAAACATCGGTGAACTAATCTAAAATCATAACGGAAATTAACTAACAATACTTTACTACAAAAAAATCGGTGAACTGACCTAAAATCTAAAATTATAACGCCAATTAACAAACAATACAAAAATACAGCAGTGAAGTAATCTCGGTCATGATCGGTGATCAACAAAAGTCGACGAGTAAAACTTATTTATTCCATACATTATTGGTTATTTAACAATAAGTAAGTCTTTAACCGTTTATTTAACGATTTCAAGTACAACTCAGTTAATTATAATAACAAGGGGGATGAAACAGCCCGGGATGAAACAACCCGATAAAAAAATAGGTTGGGATGAAACAGCCCGAGGTGAAACGGTTGTGGGATGAACTAACCCGCACCCAAATTTTCAACATATCCCCTCTCTTTTCATTATCTATTTTTTAGTTATTATAGGGAGATCTGTCAGCTCTTTATCTAATTTTACATAATCCCCCTTTAACATAGGTTTTGATTGATTGTTACACATATTATGGTTTCCTGCCAAGTTTACCTACATAAAAATTTTTAATATTTATCACAGGGAAAAAAAGGTTTGCAGAAACACAGCAAGCATGTGCAATAATTAAAGACAAATCCATTTAAAATCTGTTCTGAAATGTTAAAGCTATTGAATTGAAAATAGTACAAGTAGTTAGAAAATGTAATAAACAAGGGCAAACTAGTGAGGCAAATGTTTTAAACATCATTTACCAAGAAACTATAAAAATTATAGAGAAAAACTCTCTGGATTAAGGGTTATCATTAAAGAACAAGCAGTCCGAAAATGAGACATTCATCTTTATTATTATCAGAGATATTGTGTACTTACATTTTTTATGCTTTTTCCAAAAAAATGTGTTACCTTGTCAACTTTTTTTCCCTTTTTTTTAATGTTAGTTTTCCCTTGTTTATTACATTTCCTAACTACTTGTGCCATTTTCGATTCAATAGCTTTAGAATTTCAGAAAACATTTTTCGGGTAGCCTCTCCCCTTAAGTTACCAAACTATGAACTTGTGCTCAAGCAAAATATTCTCTTATGCAGTCGGGACATTAGTTGTAGTCCAAAATCCTGCTTTCCTTCGATTGAATTGAATCAATAGAGTTACTCCCCCTGCCCCCATAAAAAAGGTAACTCACCTCTGTAAAAGGAAGTTGAGATTCTTCTTTAAACTGTTCATGCATTTCAAAAAATTTATCTACAATTAACAAATTAAAAAAAAAAAAACACCATTATCTATTTCTTCAGACAAAAAAAAAGTTTATAATACCAGTCTCACTTTGCACATCGTCGACGAACACGGAAGGTTGATGTTGGCAATTAGTTCTTTAAATATATTTTTGACATTAAATATATTTTTGACATTAAATATATTTTTGCTTGTGTTGTTCTGTGCTGCACTATCTAAAATTCTAAAACTTCTATATTTCAACACAGCTGGTGTGGTGATGATTAACAGAAGCCTCGGTTCATGTTGTGATGCCGAAATCTTGTGGACAATGGATGGAGAGAGAGAGAAATGGGGTTTAACGTCCACTCGACACAAACTAGGTCATTTCGGGACTAACATATGGTTTAATTTTATTTCAATAATTCGCTTGCGCGTAGGGGTCTTTAGCAGTGGGAGGAAACCGGAGAAAACCCACAAGGTTGGACAGGCGACCCTACTCCATGTCACGTACAACCGGGGATTCGAAACCACGCCAGTTGACTCAATGACAGGCCTTATGATACAGCACGCACATGCTAACCATTCGGCCATCCAACCCCCCTACAATGGATGGATGGATGGACAGCGGTGACTACAACATTTGACAACACTTGACTCCAGGCATTTAAAAATACAAAACTTTGAAATCAATTCTGGCATTCTAGATTGAATACATTTGTGACTAATATTGTTGTCTGTTTTATTGTGAGAAGTATTGAATATATAGTGACAAATTATTACCTAATAAATTAATGTCATGAGAAAGTTCCTTTGTTTGTCTCCATTCGGCTATGACATCCAGCATGGCGTTAAAATGGAAATCTATTCGTCTATCCACTAAAGGATCTACCAATTTACCACGATGATCCATTAAATTACAATGTTCTTTAATTACTTTAGTACCAAGTCCAGCCTAAAAACAAAAATACAATTATCAAACAATACCGAACAATGATTGAGCATTTCGAAAAGTGGTCGTAAGTTTTATTGATTCAGCAAAATATTAATAGGCAACTTTTCATTTTGAAAGGATTCTTCTTTATGACAAGATGAAAAGAAAAACCATCTCAAATACTATAGAGTGTTTTAAAGTTTTAGTAGCAAGGACAACAACTGTGTAAAATTGAATTGCAACTCTGAATATCTATGAAAAAGCTCATAAACTCTGACCCGATTAGCATTTACCTGAATTGTGAATGGACAGACGAACAGGTGTGATGACAATACACCAACAACTGAATGTGAATGTTTGAGCAATTCATTTAATAAAAGGAAAGCTTGGTTTCATCAATGCAATATTTGATCATATTGAGACTGACATGCTGTTATCTCTATTGTATGGTCACATGTGCAATACTAGGGAAGGAGAATTGAAGTTTAACATCAAACATGAACTAAGTCATATTGGGACTAACATATGGTACAACTTTATTTCAATAATTCATTTGTGAATAGACATCTATGGTGGCCCATGGTCGCAATAGCGTTTTTTGGGTTATTTTTGTATTTCATTTAAAATAATAAAAATATTAGTACAAAAAAAAAAAAAGAAGAAACTTCGAGGTTTAGTTTCAAAGTTGTTAACTACTTTTGAAATTCAATCTCAGGGAGACCAAGTGTTTTAAAAACATTACAGAAGCCTTTTGAGGGGAGAATAGGCCTTGCGCACTAGTAGGCCGAATGGTGTCATTAAAGTCAATGACTTCAAACGTCATTATGTATGTAGGCCTAGTTCTAGTTAGACTGGATAAACTAGTCTAAATGACGCTAGGCTTCTATAGTCTATTAATTATACATTTCTATTGACTTGCATATGTATAAATACATATATCCAAGTCCATAGACGTCATGGGTGGAAAAATTGTGTTTCACGTGTTGATGTCTGTTTACCTTTTTCCTTTCGGAAGGGGAGATAACTACAAACTCGTTTCTTGTCGCTCGAGTTATGCCACATAGGATAATCGAGACACTATAGCAACAATGGGCCACGAGGTATTTCTGGTCACTCGAGTCTAATGATAGCTGTCGTAGGCTGATTTTATACTGAGTCTGGATAATCAAGACACTATTACGACGATGGGCCACGTGCAGAATTCTTTTTTTGATTTTTTCTATTTCACTTATTTTTTTTTTTTAATTAAAATGTTATTAATTTTTTTTATATAGATTTTTTTTTATTTTAAAAAGATTTTTTTTTTTTCTTAAATTCTAAAAAGATTTTTTTTTCTTTTTAATTTAAAAAGATTTTTTTTTCTTTTTAATTTAAAAAGATTTTTTTTTTCTTTTTAATTTAAAAAGATTTTTTTTTTATTTTGTAAAACAAAAGAAAAAAAAAATGTTTCTTTTTTTTTACTTTTATTTTGTATGATTTTAAATGAAATACAAAAAATAACCCCAAAAACGCTATTGCGACCATGGGCCACCATAGACATCTTTAGCAGTGGTAAGAAACTGAAGGACCAAGAGAAAACTAACGAGGATGGTGACTACTCCTTACTACTGGAGCCACAGTGACTTGGTAAGGTCGAATGAAATGAAATGGGATTTAACAGAACGTTCTGCTCCAACTGACTCGGTAAGGTACTGGCTTTCTAACTTGGAGGTCCTGGATGGAGGACCTGGCAAGGAACAGTGTCTAGTCATTTGGAAGGGGAGTAAAAACATGAGAGCTTGTGTTTACATGGCATGCAGGTAAAAGAAGCCAACTTAAGAGTAGACCGTAGTGCCGCTTTCTGGACAATGCCGTATGCCAATGCTCATTAACCTGACGGTGCAGAAAAGTAGGATGTTAAACCCCATCCCTTTCCACTCCTGATCACGTACATACTTGGAATCGAAACCACACCACTTGACACAATGGCAGAACTTATGATCTAAAGCACTTGACCACCCAATAGATATATGGTTATTATCTGGTAAGCTATAATAGATATATGGTTATTACCTGGTAAGCTACATGTATAATAGATATGGGATTATTATTTGGTAAGCTATAATAGATATAGGGTTATTACCTGGTATGCTATAATAGATATAGGGTTATTACCTGGTAAGCTGTAATAGATATAGGGTTATTACCTGGTAAGCTATAATTGATATAGGGTTATTACCTTGTAAGATATAATTGATATGGGTTATTACCTGGTAAGCTATAATTGATATAGGGTTATTTGTTTGACCTATCAACAACTGAGCACCTTGTCCTACACAATCAACTAATTGATGTGTATCAAATATTCTACCACCTAAACGATCTCTGCCTTCCAATACTTTTACCTAAAACAAAAGGAATATAAATCTCTTACATAAATCCGTTAAAAGGGCATTATTACAGTCAAAAAGGAAAACAAGCGGTTGCCATGCTCTACTCTTGCGAGAGATGGATAGAGAACAAGCAAAAAAAAAAAAAAGTGATTTTTCGTACAATCAGGGACCATAATTCAATAAGTAATGGTCTGAAATGTGCGAATATCAAGAGCAACTGAGAACTTGGGGATATAAATATATTTTAAGTTTCATCAAAATCAGACAAAAATTGTGACCTCTAGAGTGTCCACAACCTTCATGCTACATACTTTTACACTATTTACTATTTGTATACAAGGAGCGGCCATTTTGTCAGGCAGTTTCGTTTTGATTTTCCTGAATGAATGAATGAAATATGGTTTTATGGCATGTCAGCTCCAACCGGGCTATATTGCGCCAAACATATGGTGAATCTGAGACAAATTAAAACAATATCACATAAATGAATTTATATATGTAAATAAAAACAAATATCACAGAAAATATATTAATTAAAAATAAATATAACAAATCTTTTACATATATAAATATTTAAAACGATATACATGATTAAATATATACAATTAAAATTGATTATAAAAGTTTGTCTCTTTTAAAAATGTTAGCACTTTGTCATATAGCTCCGGTTGAGCAAATAGCTGACGTACTGACTGGCAACGGTAATATTTAGATCTAATGTTCTTGAGATGTTTGCACTCAATCAAGATGTGTTTCACTGTCAAAGGAACATGACAGTGAACACATTCCGGTTGAGGCTCTTGCTTCAAAATGAAATGATTTTCCTGAAATTCAAAATCAACCTTCATTACGGTGCAATACTGACATTTTTAAACGGTTTTTAAAATCAGATAAAAATTGTGACCTCTAGAGTGGTTGTCAAGCAAGATACGCCAGAATTTTACAAGAGATGGACAGAGAACAAGTTAAAAAAAAAAAAGCGATTCGACATAAAATCAGGACTAACGATCCGATACGCGGAAGTATCGAAAGGAACCCAGATCTTGGGGTACAAACATATATTTTAAGTTTCAATTTCATTGAAATCTGATAAAAATTGTGACCTTTTGTCAGGAAGTTTCAGTCTGATTTTCATCAAATGCAAACTCAACTGTCAATATGGTGTAACGTTTTTTTTTTAAATCGGATGAAAAAAGTGAACTCTAGAGGAACAACAACCGAAAAACACAATTTTTCAAACATACAGGTGTCATAATCCAGGAAATAACGGTCCAGTGTGCGCGAATATCAACAGGAACCAAGATCTTTGGGATATAAACATATATTTTAAGTTTCATCAAAATTGGATATACTTTTACACTATTTGCGTACAAAAGGAGTGGTGATTTTGTCAGCCAGTTTCAGGGCAGATTTTCCCGAAATTTGAACTCAACTGTCATTAGGTTGTAACACTGATATATTTAAAGATACATTAGTTAAGAGTTTAATAAAGAGTTGGCCATTCTTGCTAAAATAATTCAAAAGTAGATGATAACCAGTGGCTGCCAGGCAGTATACGCCCACATTTTACAAGAGATGGATAGAGAACAAGCTAAACAAAATGCGATTTTTCGTAAAATCAAGGGCCATAATTCAGGAAGTTACGATCCGATATGCACGAATACCGATAGGAACCAAGATCTTTGGGTTATAAAGATATATTTCAAGTTTCTTCAAAATCGGATCAACATTGAGACTTCTAGAGGGTCCACAACCTTGATATACCATATATTTACATATATTTATTTGATTTTTTCGTACCATCAGGGGCTATAATTCAGGAAGTTACGTTCCGATATGCGCAAATATCGAAAGGAACCAAGATCTTTGGGTTATAAACTTACATTTCAAGTTTCATCAAAATAGGATTAAAATTGTGACCTCTATAGAAATGAAATGAAATTTGGTTTTATGGCACGTCAGCTCCAACCGGGCTATATTGCGCCGTGACCTCTATAGGGTCCACAACCTTCATATACCATATTTTTACGCTATTTGAGAACGAAGGGTGGCCATTTTGTCTGTCAGTTTGGGGCCGATTTTCACGAAATTTGAACTCCGCCGTCCTTAGGGTGTCACGGTGATATAATAATACGTTTTATTAAATCGGATAAAAAATATGACCTCTATAGGGTCCACAAGCTAAAAACGCGATTTTTCGTACAATCAGGGGCCATAATTCAGGAAATTACGATCCGATATGCGCGAATATCGAAAGGAACCACAAACATTGGGTTATAAACTTACATTTCAAGTTTCAACAAAATCGGATAAAAATTGTGACCTCTATAGGGTCCACAACCTTGATATACCATATTTTTACGCTGTTTGAGAAAGAGGGGCGGCCATTTTGTCAGTCAGTTTTGGGCCGATTTTCACGAAATCCGAACTCAGCTGTCCTTAGGTTGTAACGGTGATATAATAATACCTATAGGGTCCACAAGCTAAAAACGCAATTTTCTGTACAATCAGGGGCCATAATTCAGGGGAAGTTACGGTCCGATTTGTGCAAATATCGAAAGGAACCGAGATCTTTGGGTTATAAACTTACATTTAAAGTTTCAACAAAATCGGATAAAAATTGTGACCTCTATAGGGTCCACAACCTTGATATACCATATTTTTACGCTATTTGAGAACGAACGGCGGCCATTTTGTCCGTCAGTTTTGGGCCGATTTTCACGAAAATTTGAACTCAGCCGTCCTTAGGGTTTAACGGTGATAGAATAATCGTTTTTTTTAAATCGGATAAAAATTATGACCTGTAGCGGAACCTCAAGCTAAAAACGTGATTTTTCGTACAATCAGGGGCCATAATTCAGGAAGTTAAGTTCCGATATGCGCGAATATCGAAAGGAACCAAGATCTTTGGGTTATAATCATACATTTCAAGTATAAACTAAATCGGATAAAAATTGTGACCTCTACAGTGTTCACAAGCTAAAAACGTGATTTTTCGTACAATCAGGGGCCATAATCCATGAAGTTACAGTCCGATACATGCCAATATCGAAAGGAACCAAGATCTTAGGGTGATAAACCTATATTTCAAGTTTCATTGAAATCGGATAAAAATTGTGACCTGTAGACTGTTCACAAACAATTGTGGATGGATGGACGGACGGACAGGGGCGACGACAATATACGTCCACATGAAAATGTGGGCGTATAAAAACAAATTGCACATAATCTGAGTTTACAGACCGGATTGTGATGAAACTGTCAGAATAAGTAACAAATGGTTTAGTTATTCAGGGGTAATTTTTCGAAGTTCAATTTTGCCAAATTTAAAAATCTATTAGCAGTCTTTCAGTTTCAACATAAAACACCTAAATAACAAGATATTACTTTAATTCATAACAAATGATAAGATTTCATTCTTAGAATTTTAAGCACTGCTACAGGTAGTCGTGACAGTTTGTGAATGCGATGTAGACTTTTTGTTAGGTCTTAAGACTTATGTCTGAAGCCAATTCTTGGGAGTGGCTTCCGAAGCCCCACTCACTTTAATTGTTATTTCCTCAGAAAACAATTACGTCTGCTTTTTATCGTGTGCTACTATTTTGTTCAATCGGACACATCCGGTAATTAATGAATAAACTCTATTTACTAGACTCAGGCGATATAAACAATCTTTGTGTCAATATCCCAAATGACAGGCATATTAATGATTAGCAGTTACTGCGAATCAAAAACATTTGATTTTAATTTTTGATTAGCAACTGACAAAATATGTATCGCAAATTGCGCCCTGTAGTTAATCATTTACATTTTACCTGATTTGAAAGTTTGACAATTTTTTTTTTTTTAAATTCAATTTTATAACATCACTTTAAAATATCAGCTAGGTCAAATATCAAAATTCTAATGTCATCGATTGATTGCTAATAGTTAATGGTTTCCCAAAATATAAAGATAGTGAAAATCGAATCAGAATTGCAGGACGTGATAGATTTTAAAGAATTGCTTCCGTTTTCAAACGTCGTTTTCAAAAGGGTGATAATTTGAAAATTTTATTATGACGTCATGTAGACTTAAGACCTATGATTTCAATTGGAGGGCAAACTATTACTAACTAAAATGACTTAATTTCATTCTAGAAGCACTAAACCCATATTTTGGTTAAAATTTAAATTGGCATCCAACATTAAAGGTCCTGTGCCATATTCTCACATTATTCATTTTTTTAAAGTTCCACAAAATCTTTGTTTGCAAATCAAATGTGATGAAATTTTCAGAATAAGCACCAAAGCACTTAATTAATCGATTAGCATGAACATTTTACCTGATTTCAAAGTTTCACACTTTCAAAAAATATATAGGTCCAAAATCGAAATTCTAATCGCTACAATTGAATGCAAATTGTGAATGGTTTCACAAAATATAATGATATTGAAAAATCGGATAAGAATTGTAGGAGGAGATAGATTTTGGAGAATAACTCACGATTTCAAAATGGTGGCATTTCCGGTGAATTGTAACTTGATGAGATTATTCTAAAACGTTGATAGAAGATTCCTATTTACAAATATTTTTAAATAAGGCAATATTAAAGAAGTTGAAAATCTGACCTTGTTTTCAAAAGGGAGATAATCTGAAAATTTTTGTTGACACTGTTGACTTAAGCCACCTATTTGTAAGTTACGCTCAGAATTTTCACTGCTTTCAATTTTAAGCTTAAAATAGGGTCATTCTATTGAGAAAAACCTTGCAAATTACGAACAGCTACCAATTGGTGAAAACTGCATTAAAATTGAATGCAAAATAAAAAGTTTCCTGTGATATCTAACGTTAGTTTATCTTTGTCTATGATGTTTCCCCTTGTCAGTGGTGCAGAACGGAGGGCCTGACAAGGACAGCTGTCTAGTCTTTCGGATGAGACGAAAAACCGAGGTCCCGTGTATACATTAGAATGCACGTAAAAGATCCCTTGGCAGTTGGAATTCGATATAACAGTGGGCGATAGTGCCGCT